TCTCTGTCTTTCTCTGCCTCTCCTCTCTCTCTCTGTAACTCTGCCTTTCAAATAAATAAATACATATTTTTTAAAAAAAGAATCATATAAAACAAAAATTATTGCAGACTCCAAAGGTAAGCAAAGAACATTTCACAAAAACAGAAACTCTGGACAACTAACAAATATATTTTTTTTTTTGACAAGCAGAGTGGACACTAAGAGAGAGAGAGACAGAGAGAAAGGTCTTCCTTTGCCATTGGTTCACCCTCCAATGGCCACGGCGGCCGGTGCATCGTGCTGATCCAAAGCCAGGAGCCAGGTGCTTCTGGTCTCCCATGTGGGTGCAGGGCCCAAGCACTTGGGCCATCCTCCACTGCACTCCCTGGCCACAGCAGAGAGCTGGCCTGGAAGAGGGGCAACTGGGACAGAATCCAGCGCCCCGACCGGGACTCGAACCCGGTGTGCCGGCGCCGCAAGGCAGAGGATTAGCCTATTGAGCCATGGCGCCGGCCCTAATAAATATTTGAAAAAGAATGTCCAACCTTCAAAAGTATCAAAAGATGTGGCTGGTATTGTGCCATAGCCAGTGAAACAACTACTCAGGATGCTTCCATCTCATACAGGGACGCCTAGTTTCAGTACTGGCTACTCCGTGCATCTGATCCTGCTTCCTGCTAATGCATGTAAGAGGTAGCACATGATTGCCCAAGTATTTGGTTTCCAGTGGGAGACCTGGATGGAATTCCTGGCTCCTGACTTTGGCCTGACCAAGCCCTGACTATTGTGGGTATTTGGGAAGTGAATCAGAGGATGGAATCTCTCTCTGTCACTCTGCCATTCAAATAAATGAATACACAACATTTTTAAATTTTAAAAAATCAGAAAGATGTCAACTTAATTGAGCTTCTGATTTTTAGTTTATAAAGATTAGCAATTTTCTTTTTTCCTAGAAGATTTATTTTATTTATTCGAAAGGCAGAGTTACAGAGAGAGAGGGAGAGACAGAGAGAGAGAGAAAGGTCTTCCATCCACTGGTTCACCCCCTAAATGGCTGTAACAGCCAGGGCTGGGCTAGGCCAAAGTTAGAAGTCAGAAGCTTCTTCCAGGTCTCCCACATGGGTGCATGGACCCAAGCACTTGGCCTGTCCTCTGCTGCTTTCCTAGGTGAATTAGCAGGGAGTTAGATTAAAGGTGAAGCAGCCAGGTCTGGAACTGGGATGCTGGCACTGCTGGCAATGGCTTAATGCCATGCCATGCCACATCACCAGCACCAGAAATGATTTTCTTTCTTTCTTTCTTTCTTTCTTTCTTTCTTTCTTTCTTTCTTTCTTTCTTTCTTTCTTTCTTTCTTTCTTTCTTTCTTTCTTTCTTTCTTTTTTTGACAGGCAGAGTGGACAGTGAGAGAGAGAGACAGAGAGAAAGGTCTTCCTTTGCCGTTGGTTCACCCTCCAATGGCCGCCGTGGCCGGCACGCTGCGGCCGGCGCACCGCGCTGATCCGATGGCAGGAGCCAGGTACTTATCCTGGTCTCCCATGGGGTGTAGGGCCCAGGCACTTGGGCCATCCTCCACTGCACTATCGGGCCATAGCAGAGAGCTGGCCTGGAAGAGGGGCGACCGGGACTAGAACCCGGTGTGCCAGTGCTGCTAAGCGGAGGATTAGCCTAGTGAGCCGCGGCTCAGGCTCCCAGAAATGATTTTCAAAATAAGAGGACTCAATGCTGGTAGAGTTTGATAAAGTACATAATGTAATACCATGCTGATACGAATGCTAACTGAAACAATGTTTTTGGAGAGCAATGCAGCAGTATGTATGAAGAGTATTAAATATGTTTTTACTCCTCTAACCCTGCAATTCTTTTTTTTTTTTTTTTTGAGAGGCAGAGTTAGACAGTGAGAGAGACAGACAGAGAGAAAGGCCTTCCTTCTGTTGGTTCACCCCCCCCAAATGGCCACCATGGCCGGCACGCTGCACCAATCCAAAGCCAGGAGCCAGGTGCTTCCTCCTGGTCTCCCATGCGGGTGCAGGGCTCAAGTACTTGGGCCATCCTCCACTGCCTTCCCAGGCCACAGCAGAGAGCTGGACTGGAAGAGGAGCAACTGGGACAGAATCCTACCTGGACTAAAACCTGGAGTGCTGGTGCCGCAGGTGGAGGATTAGCCTAGTGAGTCGCAGTGCCATTCTAATTGTATAAATACATCCAAAAGGTATGCTCTCCAAAATGTTCACTGTGTGTATTTATAATAGCAAAATATTGAAAAATATCTAAGAAAAAGATAATATGGTTAATTTGCTATAACTATTTAAATAATAATTGAAGGTAACCTCATTTTTAAAAAATATTTATTTATTTATTTATTTGAAAGTCAGAGTTACACAGAGAGAGAAGGAGAAGCAGAGAGAGAGAAAGAGGTCTTCCATCCACTGGTTCACTCCCCAAGTGGCCACAATGGCCGGAGCTGCACCGATCTGAAGCCAGGAACCAGGAACTGCGCCGATCCAAAGCCAGGAGCCAGGAGCCTCCTCCAGTCTCCCACGTGGTAACCTCATTTTTGAAAGATTTATTTTATTTTATGAAAGAGCTGGATGGGAAGTGGAGCAGCTGGGACTCATGGGACGCCAGCACTGCACCTGATAATGCTGCAGTGCCAGCCCCTGAAGGTACTCTTGAGGAAGAATTTGCAATAGCATATGGAAATTCTTAAGATACAATTTTGGGGGCGGCACTGTGGTGTAGCAGATAAAGCCACCGCCTGTGGTGTCTGCATCCCATATGGGCACCTGTTCAAGATCTGACTGCTCCACTTCTGATCCAGCTCTCTGCTATGGCTTGGGAAAGCAGTAGAAGATGGCCCAAGTGCTTGGGCCCCTGCACCCATGTGAGAGACCCGGAAGAAGCTCCTGGCTTTTGGCTTCAGATTGGCATGGCTCCAGCATTTGTGGCCATCTGGGGAGTGAATGAGTTGATGGAAAACTTCTCGTTCGCGCGCGCGCGCTCTCTTTTTCTCTCTGCCTCTGCCTCTCTGTAACTCTGCCTTTCAAATAAATAAATCTTAAAAAAAAAAAAAGATGTAATGTTAACTGAAAGAAACAGTATACAAAAATACATACAATTGGCGGCTCAATAGGCTAATCCTCTGCCTTGCGGCGCCGGCACACCAGGTTCTAGTCCCGGTCGGGGCGCCGGATTCTGTCCTGGTTGCCCCTCTTCCAGGCCAGCTCTCTGCTATGGCCCGATAGTGCAGTGGAGGATGGCCCAGGTCCTTGGGCCCTGCACCCCATGGGAGACCAGGATAAGCACCTGGCTCCTGCCTTCAGATCAGCGCAGTGCGCCGGCCGCAGCGGCCATTGGAGGGTGAACCAATGGCAAAGGAAGACCTTTCTCTCTGTCTCTCTCTCTCACTGTCCACTCTGCCTGTCAAAAAACAACAACAACAACAAAAACACATACAATGATCTCAGATATGTACACCAGTAAGTGCTGAAGGGAAGGGAGACACCAAGAACATTAACAATGGGTATGTGTCTTTCCTATGTGCTCCTCTGTTTTATAAGTTCTCTACCTTGAGTTCCTATTCTTTTGTAATCAAGAAAAACCCACACAGACAGGAATAGATAGTCTCCCAAACTTACTTTAGGGACACAGGAGTTTATTAACACTCTCTTAAGAGCCTTCTTACTTCCCCATAACAGTCTCTCCAAACCTGGTGCCCACCAATATTTACATCCAAACAGTGTACTCCCCAAACACCTGCCTACTCTCCCAGCTCCTCAACTATATTGCCTCATGCTCTATGTTCCCTAAAATTCATTCTGTCCCAAATCTGGTGATCCTTAAATCTTACCCTGAACTCAAAATGCCTCAAACCTCATTTCCTCTCTCCTTCTGCAAGAACAGCCCTTTCACAAGCCCAGGGACTGGCCCAGGGCCCCAGCCAGGCTTGGCCGGAGCAGGGCAGACAGGACTGGGACCAGAGGTGGTTCCTGCCCTTCCACACCTCCGCTCCCAGCGCCACAGCTGACACCTGTGATAGTGATCATGCCAAGGTATAACTTGATCAGAGAGGACAGATGTGTTCTCTTGTATCTGAACATTTCTGACTTGTTCTTAGTTTTGAGACATAGAGTGTGAGAGACAAGCAAAGATGCCAGTGCACTCTCCAAGTGCTCATAACCGCTGGGGCCTGGCTAAAGCCAGAAGCCAGGCATTCAATCCAGATCTGGGTAGCAGGAACTCCATGCTCTGAGCCTATCACCGCTGCCTCCCGTAGGTCTGTATTAGCTGGAATCGGGAGCCTGAACCGAGGATAGAACCCACGTATTCAGATACGGGCCAGGAGGCATCTCAATCACCAAGCTAAATACCCACCCCTAAGTCTCCAGCTTTTAAATATTTTGACTTTCAAGTGCATCCTCAGTGTTTTTTAATCCATTTCTTCCTTTTAAAATTCTGAAAATACATGACTTCTCTCTCAACCCGTTCCTCCCGAAATGCCTGACCAATTCGGATCATTTAAATTTTAGGGTACCTCAGTTTAAGAAGCTTATTACATGCAGTAGCTGGGTCCACATTCACTTGTTCTCAGCCTCTACACCACCCAGTGATCCTTTCCCTCAGGGCCTGAGCGTGACAGAGCCTGTGAGTGGGCATGGTGCAGGTGGCGTCCTTGGACGGCCGCGGGACCAAGGAGGGGTGTCTCGGGCAGTGTGGAGCCGACCCCACTGTTCCCGCCTCCGACCTTAAAATCCGACCCAGGCTCGGGCGCACCCCCCAGCTGAGCTGAAGCTCACCGAGCCCTCGTGCGCCATCGCCACCGGGGGTGGCTCCAACGTGCGCTTCAGCACCCTTCAGGCCAAGCCTCCACGGCCGCCGCCTAACGGTCACCTCGGCAACGACGCGGCGCGCTGGGTCGTTCGCTCCGCCCACGGTTGCCCCGGCAACCGCGGCCGCGCGCCGCACGCTCAGGCTATTCGCCCCGCCCAACGGCCGTGCGTGTGTGCGTCGTCTCTATGGTGGCGGCGGATTCGGAGGTACCCGGCGTTCCCGGGATCTGGCGAGCGGTTCTGGAGCACCAGGTGTGACCTCTGACCCGGGACAAAGGATTCGCGGAACGGAACGGAGTGAGAAAGGGCCTTCTTGGCTCGGGAACTTGGGGTCACGGGGTCCTATGCCATCACCATTCCTCCTGCGGGATTCCCCCATCGCCCCATGACTCAGCCCTGGAACTTCCTGCTCCTCCTCTACGAGACCGTCCCCACGCCAGGTGACCCTCCCTCCATCACCGTCCTCGAGGCATCTTATCAGTGACCCGGCCTCAGGGGTCTCTTGCGGTGCCCCTGCCCGGCCCCTGGAGTCTGCTGTCGCGTTTCCCGCGCTCCAGGTGATTCGGGTGTCCCCTCCTCAGGATGTTCCGCCGGGAGCACTCCATCCCGCTTCGAGGCTCGGCTGCCGCCCTGTGCAACAACCTCAGTGTGCTGCAGCTGCCCACTGGGAACCTCAGACATTTTGGGGTGGTTCATGGGCCCAGCGCCCAGCTCCTCAGCGCTGCCCCTGAGGATGGGTCCTTGGTCCAGCGCCAGCTCCAGGCTAAGGAGGGCGCTGGAGTGAGCCCCCCTCTCATCACTCAGGTGAGGCATGGAGTTGGAAGCCGTGTTGCTTCCTGCCTTTTCTCTCCAAACCTTAAGGGATAGGCCTTCTATAACCCCCTGCATTCGCACTCAAGCCCCCTTCTCTACTCCTCCTCCTGCAGGTCCACTGGTGCGTCCTCCCCTTCCGGGTACTGCTGGTTCTCACCTCACACCGAGGAATACAGGCAAGAAGAGGACCCTCCTGCCCTCCTCCACCCGGGTCTTCTCACTCCCACCCCCGCCCCTGCCTCCCAGGCCCTTCTCCCCTTGCTTCTAAACGGTCCCTTACTTTTCACACGCCTAGCCCACTCTTCCCGCATGTCTCCTCTTCATTCTTTCTGCCTTCTCCAGTTCCTAACTGCCATCTCCAACAGCTGTCCCTTTATCCAAGGCGGTTAACTTCTCTGGGCCTCAGTGTCCTCCTCTGTGAAATGGGGACACCAACAGGACCTTCTTCCCAGAATGGTTTTGAGGATTTACATGGCTAGGTAAAAACACTGAGCACAGAACTCAGCCAAGATCAGCTGGGTCATGCCCAGGTCCTTGTCCCCCTCCTCCAGATGTTCGAGTCTGATGGCTCCATCATGGTGTACTGGCATGCCCTGGACACTGGAGATGCCCCTCCAGGTACCTGTGGGACCAAGTGGGGGGGGGGGAGGGAGCATTTACTGGGACTGGGGGAGATGCTATAGCTGATAGTTTTCCCCTTTCGTACTCAGTACAGGCTGTGTTTGCCCGGGGAATTGCTGCCAGCGGCCATTTCATCTGTGTGGGTGAGGGGGCCAAGGGCAGGGCATTGAGGGGTGCTTGGATGTGGGCTGTGGCTGAGAACCTAAGGAAACTCTAAAGGGCTGGAGGGAAGAGTGGGAGTGAAGGGGGTCTGAGAAACCCCAAAAATGCATCGAAGGGTTCAGAGGGGCAGCGGGGGTAGGATGGGTAAGGAGTGGAGGGACAGGGGCTGCTGGAGCAGTGAGAGAGGGGTTTGTGGTACCAAGGTTTCTGGGTTGAAGGGAGTACCGAGTGTGATGGCTGGAGACCCAGGAGGGTCAGGAGGCCATCAGTTGGGTACTGGTTCTGGCTGCAGGAACATGGTCAGGGCGGGTGCTGGTGTTTGACATCCCAGCCAAGGGTCCCAACATCATGCTGAGTGAGGAGCTGGCGGGGCATCAGACGTCAATCACAGACATCGCCACTGAGCCTGTCCAGGGAGGGGTGAGTGCACTTCTACCTGTGCCAATGAGCCTGGGAGGTGGGGGCCCCTGGTTTGAGTCTTGGCTCTGCCACTAAGCAGCTGGATGACTTTGGGCAAATCTGAACTTACCTAGATTTCAGCAGCCTCAGGTGCAGGCCAGAGATACTTTGCATTTATATGACATTTTACCATTCAGGAAGACTTCTCAGTACTGCTGTGAGCTGAAGAGTCACAATAGATGGTTCCTAAGATGCCTTCCAGCTCTGATACGTGCAGTTTCCTTCTCTGCACCTGGGCAAGTTCTACCCATGCAGGCCCAGCTCTAGTGCCTCCCTCTCCAGGAAGTCCTCCCCCTAGTCCAGTTCCTACTGCTCTGTCTTAGCTGAACCCCGAGTTGACACTGCCCTTAAAGACAACTCTTGTCTCCCCAGTTGGACTGCAAGCCTCTTGAGCACAGGGAACGTATTTCCCAGTTGGTGCCCTGAGCTGGGCCTGTCCGCCTGGGGTCTGGGAGCCACTGCCAGCTGTGATGGACTGGCTTACTGCAAGACCTCTAGGAGGCTGCGGCACTGCGGCCTCAGTTTCATCATCCATCCAGGGAGGACACTTAGGCACCTCCTCCCAACACATGATGTGTTTGTGTTGGGGCAGGGGAGTGGCTGCGAGACTCTAGGGAAATGCTGTGAAGACAGTTGGTGTTTCCTGAGGGAACTGGGGAGGGTGCAGCCAGGAGGGCCTTGCATCGTGACCCTTCCTGGAGCAAGAGAGATGCTCCCTGCCTGCCTGCCTGCACACAGTGGGGCGGGGGGAGGCTGGACCCTGTCTCTTCCCTTCAGGATTGTATGGCAGACGTGGTGACAGCGGATGACTCGGGCTTGCTGTGTGTGTGGCGGTCAGGGCCTGAATTCACGTTAGTGACCCGCATTCCGGGATTTGGGTAGGTGAGACACAAGGGGGCTGTGAAGCCTTTCTTACGTAGTTTCAGGATGGGGAGTGGGCTTGGGTCTGGGGAAATCAAAGTCCGGTGTCACCCATGCAGGGTGCCCTGCCCCTCTGTGAAGCTGTGGCAGGGGATTGTAGCAGCAGGCTATGGGAATGGGCAAGTGCGTCTGTATGAGGCCATGAAAGGAACACTTCACGTCCAGATCAGCGCCCACGCCCGGACCATCTGTGCTCTGGACCTAGCTCCGGAGGTGGGGAAGGTCGGTCTCCTCCCACATCCCCACACACCCTTCCCCTGGCGCTGGGATGGTGAGAGAAACGTCCCGGGCTTGTCTCTGCCACCCCGGGCAGGCCCCCGCCTGAGGCATCCAGACCTGTCGGCTAGCACGTGTTCCGACTCCCGGTCCCCCTCCATTTTGTCCCCGTAGCTACTCTCTGCAGCCGAGGACACCTTTGTGCACATCTGGAAACTGAGCAGAAGCCCAGAGAGTGGCTCCATTGAGGTGTGTGTCACGGGAGGGCTGGCTCGGGGAGCCCGCGTCTGAGGTGGCAGGTCCTGAGCGGCTGTCTTCTCCCCAGGTGGAACACTGTCACGGGGAGTGTGTATCCAACACCCAGCTGTGTGGGGCTCGATTCTGTGATCCCTCCGGCAGCTCCTTTGCTGTGACTGGCTACGACCTCGCCGAGATCCTGAGGTTCAGCAGTGTGTGAGAAGAGCAGCCTCCCTTTCTCCTTGTGGTATTTATAAAGTATCCCCTCCACCTGGCCCTGGTCTGATTACTCAGTGGCACAGCCGTCCTTCACAGCTGGGAGAGGGGCTGCAGGGAACGGGGGCTGGGGCAGGTCCAGGCCGAGCCGACAGAGGCAACCTGTCCCCAAGAACCAGGTGAAGGCTGCTGTTAAATAACTTTAATGGTCGGTGTATAGTCACAGGGAGACGTGTTCTCTCCCACGGCTCCTGAGCGCCATCCTCAAAGCTGGTTAGTGCAGGGAGGTAGGGTAGGGTTGATTCCAGTTTTCTCCCAGGAAAGGTTCGGTGGGGGGGGGTCCTGGCCAGCCTCAGGAATGAGCCTCTTAGTACCATGGCAACCACAGCTTCAAGAGTCTTCTGCTCCCCCTCCCCAGCCTACCCCCGGTCCAGCAGAGGAAGAAGTGGCCAAACTGGCCAACTTGCTGGGGCAGTGCTGTATCCAGAGCCCACTTGCATTTGGTCACTTTCTCTTCTGGCCAGATCCTGGTGCCAGCACCTTTCTCTCACACTGGTGACTGGAGCCAAGTGCGGGGCAGGCCTTTGCTGCAGAGGCCTCTGGACCGTGGGGATCGCTGCGGGGGGAGAGGGGCGACCGAGCGGGAAGCCCCAGGGCAGTGGTCTGGGGGGACAGCATCCAAGGAAAAGGTTCGGGGTCGCCCCCAGGACAGGGGGTGGGTCCAGGCTGGGGCAGCTGAGCAGGGGCTGGGCAGGGCGGGCTGGTCTGTAAACATGGCTAGCCAAGGTGGGGGTGTCTCCAGCCTCGTGCCCTCTCGCTGGGCCAGGATGTCTGTCACCGCTGCGATGTCATCCAGCGGCTCAATAGCTGTGGCACCAGGAGGGGGTTGAGGGGAGGGGGCTAGTCAGAGCTCAGGCCCAGGCCTTCCCAGCCCTGAGCATCACCTGTCACTGTAATAGGAGGAAAGCAAAGCCCGGATCTCAGCCGAGATCGCATTATCCTGGAGCAGCAGCCCCTCACCTCGGCCCCCCGAGGCCACGGGCTCTGAGAGGGCTGTGGGGCACAGGGCGCAGAGGGGAGGGGGAGAGGGAGAGGAGCAGACGTGGGTGAGGAAACCGAGAAAGGAGAAGAATAAAAGCGATGCCAGGCAAGTGGGGGGTCAGAGGAAGAGACAGGAAGCCGCATGCAGAAAGGGAAACAGAAAAGAAGAAGTTAGGAAAGAAATCCATGAAATGAATCTGGTTCTTTGGGGTTTTGCTTGAAACTGGTGGAAATGGTTCTAAGAAGAGTTGGAGAGGAGAAAGGAATACAATGTACTGGGGGTGGGAGGTGGACCTGGGGCCCTGGAGAACTGCCTTAGCCCAGAGTGTGCTTTCTCTGTTGTCACAATCTGGGTTCCCTGGAAGCCCCCAGCCCTGCTTCCCATCAGGTTCCTGGAGTGTGCTGTCACTCACCCATTTCGTGGTACAAGGAGCCCTGCTTGGCCAGTGCTAGGGGTGGTTTCCGGGGGGCAGGAGTTTCGATTTTCATGATCTCATCACAGCACTGCTTCCATTGGCCTGGAGGAAAAACATTCAGTACAGGAGGGCGCCAGGCTGCCCTCTGCCAAGGCATTCTCCTCCTTACACTCCACTTGGCACAGCAACAAACCCCAGTCCTTCTCTCTTACTCATGTCGAAGAAAAGCTGCCACAGGGCCTCCATCCAGCTCTGCAGGGCTTCCCGGCTCTCTGTCTGAAGGACATGCGTCACCTCATCATTCCCATACCGGTTACTGATGCTTAGGGTGAAGGGCCGGCCTGGGGCCTGATCCCGCTCCCCTGCCCGGACGCGGGTCTCCTGCAGGAGAAATAGGGGGCCATGAGAGTCGGAAGTGAAAGGAGGAGCTTGTGGGGCTTTTGCGGAGCCTTCTTTCCCACCTCCTGCTGAGCAGAGTGGGAAGGCATGAAGGAAAAGGCAGGATGAGGCAGGTGGTCCAGAGTCAGGGTGGGGGGGATTGAACCAGGCAAGGAAGGACAGAGCGGGCCAAGGACACTGATGCCAGCTGCATGCTGTCGTCTCTGAGGTCTGCACCCACCCTCCTGGGGCTGAAGGAGAGGCTCCTGGGCCCAGGCGCCTGGTAGCCTCACCACCAGGGGACCCGTCACCTTGTTAATCGCAATAGTAAGCAATGGCTCTTCGCCAGCGTCTGCATCCTCAGGTCTCCGGTAACAGAAGATGTTTGTGCCTTTCAGGACTCCGTGCACTCGGGCCCAGTTCTGCAGCTCCCCAGCTTGCTGCATAAATGACTTGGCGTTTCCTGGGGGAGTCACTCCCAGCCCCCATGGCGAGCCCGCTCCTTTTGTCTACCCTCCTCCCATCCTTTACTCGGCTGGTCTAGCCGCACCCCTCTTCCTCCACCCAGATCTTGCTTTCTCAAGAGTCCTGTTCCGAGGGGCCCAGGCTCTCCTCTGCCTTCCCTCTGTTCCCTCCCACTCCACAGGGCCCCTCACCTGCACCCTGACGGTACCACTTGCACTGGGCTGAGTCATGCAGAGAGGCTGGGCTGCCAGGCGGCAGCACACGCTGCCGTACAGGGGCAGCCAGGCGGGGTTCTCCTCTGGGGGAGGAGGAGGAAGTACAGGGTGAAGGTGGGAATGAGAAGGGACCTCTCACCAGCCAGCATCCTCCACACCCACGCACTCACCGTGACTGGCAAGAGTAAGGTCATGTGTGCGGAACCCATCTTGCACTGCTGTCAGGGTGAGCATGGTGTGAGCCAGGAGGTGGTAACGGGGACCACTGGAGGGAGGAGCAGCAGGCACATTAGACAGCAGGTGCTGCGAGGGCTGAGCAGGGCTGCTGCATGAGGCTGCCACACACAAAACGAGCCTGCCACCCCAGTGGGGCTGGGAGCGTACATTTACTGGCTCCGACCCCGGCTTTAGTTTGTCATCCCACTGTAGTCCCACGACAGCCTGTAAGCTTCGTGGCATCCTTCATGTAGATGAGACAAAGAGAGGTTAAGGAGTTTGCCTGTAATTGGTAGCCCTTCAGAGTTCGGTGGTTCCACAGGGTGCTTCCAGGTGCCTGTAGGGCACCTCATGGGCCCACACCACCCTGCTCCAACTTTGGAGCTTCGTTCTGTTCACATAACTCCCTGCCTTCGTAAGGATTCTGCACTGGCCAGCCTTGGGGTGTGGCCACCGCCACGTGTCCGCAGGTCCTGGCAGCAGTGTAAAGGGGTTTTGCATGCTCAACACATGGGTCACTGTGGGCAGGACACAGAGAGGGCCTTACCCCACGGCCGGGGTGGGGAGCAGGATGGGACTGCTCCCCGTGCCCCCAGCACTGTCCAGCGATGCCCGGACACGTCGCCCTGAGGAGCGGCCCAGGGAGCTGCTCAGTTTGGTGGCTAGTCTCTTGGGGGCACCAGCCAGGGCGCCCTCCTCTTCCACACAGGCTCCATATAGCTCCAGCCGCAGCTCAAAGTCTGGCCCCGCCTCTGTGCTACAGGCGTGCAGGAGGAAGAGAGGAGAGTGGCCATGGAAGTCCAGGGGGACAGTCCGGGTGGTGTGGATGGTGCAAGCACAGGGCAGCTCCACAGGGAAGGCCCGCTGCCCACCCGCCTGCCCCTGCCCGCTCCTCCGCTGGAGCAACAGCGTCTGAGAACTTGGGAGACGAGGACTCACAAGAGCACGCTGCTCTGAAAGGAGATGTCCGTGAGGGTCCTGTCCACCAGGATCATCTCTGTGTCCTGAATCTGTTCCCCAAGCTGCAGCAACAGGAACACAGCCCAGCGGTGCAGGTCTGGGGACCGAGAAGGCGCGCCACTCAAAACCGGTCCCCCACACCTCCGTGCCTCCGACCTCAAGGGCCCCGCCCCGCGTTCGTCCCAGGGTGGGTAGAACTCACCACCTTTGTTCTTGAAATACTCTGTGTCCTTCCACATGAGTGGAATCCTCAGGTCTGAGGGGTAGAGGGGTGGGAAGAGACATTGAGGTGGGGCAGGAGACCCTGTGGGTGGGCGTCAGGTGCCAGCGGCCAGGGATGCTGTGCTTCTTACCAGAGATGCAGACACGGCCTCTGCACGGGGAGCGCTCAGCGGGTGGCCCGCTGTCGGAAGGCCTGCGGGTAAATCACAGCGTCCTCACCTGGCCTAGGAGCCCCCAGGCCCCCAGACAGGCTGGCACCTGAATCCAGGTCTGCTGGGCTTGGGGACATTAAGGACACTTGAGCCACATCATCTTGCACGTTCCTCCGGCTCCAAGCCTGACCACCTCCCCAAACCCCTGCCAGGGACAAGTGGGGCCTGGAGGGGCAGGTGTCCAGACAGAGGCCCTTCCAAGAGCTCTTTGTTAACCCGAAGGCTTGGTGCAGCAGGTGGGGGAGGGGCACTGCAGGCTGTTCTGATGGTAATAGGGAGGCTGCTCCTTTCCATCACCTAGTGCTACTACTAGCTCATACTGTGTCAGTCAGAAAATAGTTGGAGCAGTGTTTGATGAAAAGACAGAAGTAGGGAATGCTTGTGTGCCAGTCCCCACAGAGCCCCCTCTGCCCCACAGCTATGATTTCCCTGTCCCCTGCTGGCCACAGAGGCTGCAACTTCTCCACCTGTCCCCAGTAGGAGACACGCAGCCTTCCCCTCTCCTAAATATGCCAGCCAGTTTATCCCTATGTAGTCACAGTGTCACTAATGTAGTCACAGTGTCACTAATGCAGTTACCTGCTTAGGGCCGTCAGCTAGATGAGGTGACACTGCTGGCAATGTGTCTGCCACCAGGGACTTGAGTATACCTCGGGTTACACTGTGTGGGCTGTGTGGTGACAAGGCAGGGTAGCCCGTCCAGGCGGGCCTATGGGAGGCAGCACGCTCACAGGTGGTGCTCCCCTCACCTGCATGGGGGGCGGCTCTAGGGTGGATTTTCCACTTGCCCCTGGCAGTTACCCCTGTGTCAGCCTTCCTGGCTGAGATGGGTACTGTGCCAGCGAGGAGCTGGGACTATTTCCCCACTCAGCCTTAATGAGGCAAGCAGGCTCCTCTGCCAATAACCAGTTCTCCAAATGGCCAATTTACCAAAAATGGCCAGTTCTCAGAATGATCCTTTTGTCTATATTTTCTCCAACACGTTCGTGTCGCCATAGCATTGTCAGATCAGCAGTCTGCTGTCTGTGTGGCTTGGGTTGCACTGCCAGAGCTGGGTCCTTTGAGGATACTCAGGCACATTAATAGGAATGGACAGGCTTTCCTTGAAGTGGTCTTTTTATTATTTCCTTTCCTAGTTCCTGTCTCTGATGGTGAACCCCGGGTATAACAAACCATTGTCAGTTTGTGGTAAATCGGCCATTCAACAAATCGACCATTTGGTGAGCTGGCTTTGAGAAGATTCGTTTTCCAGAAGCCAGCCAGCCAGACTCATCAAGATCACAGCAGGGCTGAGTGAATTAGGGTTCTGCATTAGCCCCTGCCCCTCAGCCTGCTGGCTGTCACTAGTGGCCAGCCCAAGCCACCCGCAGGGCACCTCTGAGCAACACACGGCCATGGACACCACCCAGGTGTCTTCCAGGCCCTGGGGACGCTCCAGGAGGGGCTCATCTCCACGGTGGTCCTCACCCCACAGAGGCACACGTGCACCACTGCTATCCATAAAGGCTGCCATTGAGGCCTCGCCTCCCCCGTGCTCACCGCCGGCCTGTCTTCCCCAGCACCTGCGCCTCCTTGCGCCGCTGCAGCTCGCCCATGTAGCTGAGGATGCGGCTGTTGCACACCAGCAGGCTCTTGGTGGCCTCTAGAGCCTGCTCGCGCTGGGAGCAGGCCGCCAGCAGCTTGCAGGCCCCTTCCCTCATCCGGATCTCATGGTCGAGCTTCCTCTGCAGTTCTGTGTCCTAGCCAGGGTCAAAGGAAGGGGGAAAAGGAAATAACAATCAGGGGACAGGCTGAAGCCCCCTCCCGCCAGCCTCCCTGGCCCTAGTTCCCAGGCGGGAGAAACTGACAGGAAACTCAAGTTTTAGGCAGTTTAAGAGCAACCCTGGAGTTTCCACCTCCCCTGCCCGGGAACAGATGGAGAAGCTCTGTAAAAGTACAGATGTCCTTGTGCATCTGAGGGTTTAGAGTACAGGTTCCTTCTATAGTGGTTTTTTTTTTTTTTTTGAGTGCAGTTTGGAAAAGTCTATGAAAACTGCAAATTCACACATCCTTTGATCCAACTCTGCAGTATCTAGGGGTTATCCCACTGATACAGTCACAAGTGTAATGGGGAAAGCCATATGGACAAAAATACTAATTGTGGCATTACTCTAAACACCAAAATTAAAGGCCCTTCAATATGGCATTGGTTAAGTAAGTTATAGCATGTCTATACATCATAATAGCACAGACGTTAGAGTGAGGGACACACACGTGTGCAGACATGAACAACCCCAAAACACTGCTGAGAAAGCAAAGCAGAATCATACTATTTGTGCAGGTTGTAGACATACATGTGTGTGTGCCTATATACACATATACACAGATATGCATTCTTACGGATAGACTGCTAGTGGTGTGGGCCTAGGAGCCAGGAATGGAAAAGAGACTTATGATACTTTCTGTGTAACCCTTTCTATGTTACAGTTTAAAAAATATTAAATTTTTGGAGTTAAAAATGACCCCCCCCACACACACACCTAAAAGTGGCAGAATGAGTTTTGGAAAACTCCCCAAGTGATTCTAAGGTGCAGCTAGGGCTGAGGGCCAAGAACTAAAGAGGATGGACAGATATTCAAGGCCACCCAGGGTTGTCCCTGAAGACTCATGTGGCAGAGGGGAGGGGACATTAATTGGCAAAGGTCGGTGGAGAAGCACCTCACCACCTACAAAGTTTACCCGTGCTTCACAGATCCCCATCTGCATTCCAAATTAGGGGATCCACCAACTCCTGGCCCCCAACTTGAGAGCTGGAGAATGGGGGTGGGAAGATAGGTGTCCAGGAGTTTCGGGTAAGGGTCAGAGGGGAAGCCCTGAGGGAGGCGCTGGAACATGGCTCAGAGAGGAGCCCTGGAGGTGGTGGTGCTTACAAAGCACTGGGCAATTGACTGAAGCTCCCTAGCCTCAGTTTCCCCAGCTATGAAATCCCAGGGTTGTGAGGGCTCAGTGAGACAATGCCTAGCACAGAGTGCACAGACATGGTGGGGGTGCTGATGTTAATGATGCCCCATGGGCAGCAGGAGCATCTGCCCCGTGACCACTGGGGCACCCTTGTCAAGTCCAAGGCTCCCCATCTACAATGCAGCTGGGAGGCAAGAGATGCAGGCACTAATGGCTGCTCCCTAAGTGCCCTGTCATAGCATATAGGCACTCATAGCAAACAGCCCCTGTGTACTTCTGGCTGGGGGGACCAGGGGTGGGGCAGACATCAGAGAGGAGATGGAAGACCAACCTGGCCACTGGGTACAGATGGGGCAGGACTTGAGGCAAGTCAGCCAGCCAATCAGACAAGGGGGAAGAATGAGGCCACCCCAACCTGCCGTCTCCTTCATCCTAGCTCTCCTCCTCCTTGCCGCTGTCCCTGGTGGTGCCAGCCTTCAAGTCTCCAATACCTGAACACCCTAAGTTCTCTCGCCCAAAAGCCCTGTCCAGTCTGCCTGCAGATGCTTCCTTCACTTTCTGTCTCCTGGGCCACTCTGCTAATCCCACTTGCATCACTCTCCACCCAGCACCATCCCAAGTAGGCCAACCAGTTCCCAAAGCCCCCTCCCTCAGGATGCCCTCCTGTACTACGCAGCTCCTCCCAGCCTAGTTTTGTCTATCTGCACCAGGGTTCTACCTCTGCTAAAAGCTTCACAGCTTGCCAACCTGCACTCCAGTCTGCACCCGGTTCCCACCACAAACACCCCAAACGGAGGACAGCCGGCGAGGAGGGGGACGCAGAGGCGCCCTGGAGCCCCCTCACGGCTGGCCTCCGTGCCCAGTCCCGGCACTCACGGATCCTTCCCTAGCCCCGTCCATTGCGCGTGCGGCGCTGGCGCATCGGCGCGCGGGGACCGGGGAGCCGCCAGCCCAAGAAGCCGGAGGGGCCGGAGCACCGGCGCAGCCGCACCGGCCTCCGCCCGCGGCGCTCCAGGCGCGGGTGACATCAGCTCCCAGTTGCCGCGAGAGCGGTCTAGGGGCGCAGGGGTGCGGACGGTCCCTCTGGGCGCCTGGCCGGGCTAGGCTCTGGGCTCCGGGGCTTGCAAGCACGGAGACCCAGTCACAGCCGGAAAGGGCTCCCAGCCCTGCCAGAGGCGGCAGGCCCCTCCCAGGTTGCAGTCGCTCTCCAAGGTGACCTCTTGCCCACGGGACATGGGGAGGAGAGTAGCTTACACTTTGGGAAAGCTGGGAGGTCACTGAGCCCAGTCTGAGTGAACGGGACTGGGGGCCCAGACCCCTCGGTCACTTCCCCATAGCCCTGCAGCCTGGAATCCACTCTCCCACGACCCGGAGTGCCCTAGAAACCGGCTCTCGCCCTGGGAGCACAGGATCTCAGCAATCCCAGCCCAGGCTCCAGATCCCTGTGCTTGGCCCGTGGCTCCCTCCCCGCCCCCAGCATTTCCCCCAGACTCTCTCGGGAAAGAGGCCAGAGTTGGGTGTCAGCCTGACCTGGGTCAGGTCCCAAGGGGCCATAGGAGGATGAGTCACAGCACACATTAGGCCCTCCGTGGCCAGCCCGCCCCCTCTGTCCCTGACTTCTGCTCTGTTTCTCATCACCTCTGCTTCCCTTCAGAATCTCACCAGGCTCAAGGCTGGGTTTAGGCACTTGACAAGTGGGGAGGATTTAACTTTGGGAGGCTTAGTTTATAGACTGGAAAGTATCCCACCTCTTTTGCATTATTTGTGGACTAAATGGGAGGGTCTAACCTCCACCCGGCTCTAGCACATGTTTAAAACAAGTTTTCTCTCACTCTCACCTCCCTTCTACCTGGAATTTAAAGCACCTCCTCCAGAAAGTCTTCTTGGATTTACTCTGCCAGGACTGCCTCTCTTGCCATTCCCTGGAACATCAATGGATCTCTCTTTTGAAAGCCTGCTGAACTTGGGTGGGAAATGGATAGAACACTCGGCCCATGGCAGGATGGGAGCGGTGGGCCTGCCTGAAAACCAAGACCCTCCTCTTCCCCAGACCTTGGGCAGGCCCCCATGGGGAAAAGCCAGATGAGGAGTAGAGGAGAGGGTAGTCCCAGGATGCGGAATTTAAACACTCAGAAACACAGACCAACTCCAGCCAAAGAAACCTGCTGTGACGATGGAAATGTATGGTTTGAAAGCGAGAACAAACAGAACGTCCTTTGCCACTATGACCTGTGGCTACCACCACCAAGGGGTTGATGCTTTGCTTTATTTGAATCAACTAAAGTTAAGGGTGAAGTGGCTGTGTGTAACTGGTGACCTGGACAGTGCAGAGGACAGTTCTCTCACCCGCCTGGGCCGACACAGGACAGTTAGGAACACCAGCATTCCAGCAGGTGCAGGGGGCCCCTTTCTGCATGTTAGAAAAAGGTAGACCTCCAGGCACACAAATTAGATAAAGGTGCCCCTTGCCTCCTGCAGCAGCCAAAACCAGACCAGGACTCCTGTGCTGGGGAGGGTTCTGAGGTGGCCTCTGGGCTCATGGGAAGAGAGTGCCAGGGACTAACTGTCCACTGTGGCCCAGGGGGTGGGGCTGGGGAGCCAGCACACATGCCATAAGCTGCCATTGCTGATCTGCACTCTCCACACTCACCCCTGCCTCTGACCTGGGCCAGCAAACCCCTGCTGGCCTGGGTGGTCACTTCCACAACATCCCTCATCTTCCCCATCTCAGGATGGGGCCACAGCACCTGGCCACTTAGCCATACAGCTAGAAATCATCCTAGAGTCCTCTCTTTGCTGCCACTCCTGTGCAGGCCCCCAGCAAGCCCGAGCAGATCTACCAGCATCATTTGAACCCCCCCCCCCCCCCACTTCTCACCATGAGTGCTTTAATCCATACCACCAGGTTCAGGCAGGCACCTGTGGTCTTTCGCTGCCTCTCTTGTCAACCCACTTCCCTCAGCTCCATCGCCCGCTCCAGCTGGCCTCCACCAGCAGCCTGTTTTAAAGTCCCCCTCCCCCATTCCCTGATGAAGTCCCTTCATGGCCCAGCATCGCATGGAGAGTAAAATCCAAGTGCCTGATCACAGCCTTCAAGGCTGCGAGACCGGGCTCCTGCCTACTAGCTCCACTCCAACTCCTGTGTTCCAGCCATGCTGGCTCGTTTGCTTTCTCACAAACACGCCACCCTCCTCCGCACCAAGGGCCTTTCCCTGGCCTGAGCTCGAGATCTCAGAGGCCTCCCTGATCTCCACCTGCGATGCTGCCCCTCCCACCTGATTCTGATTCCACACCCGTTTCACCATAATTCCACTCTGTGATATGACTTCCGGGCTTGCATGTTGAAGGCCTGCTCTCCTGTCTTGCTCACTGAGGACTGCCATGACCTAGAAAGGGGCTGGTACACAGCACATGTTCAACAAATGCCTTTAAGAGTAAGTAAACAGAGCAGCAGCTCCCTGCCATCTCTGGGGCCAGCAGAATCCCTACTCCTGGTCCAGACTCTGTCCAGGCGACATCCTTCCTGCAAACATCACTCCCGTGGCACTCTCTTCGTCCCACACCCACAAGGAGCCCTTGTCCCCAGGGCTGGCATCCACACCCACCCACGAGCTTCCAGAAACAGGTGTAAAGAACCTGCTGCCAACATAGTGCTCTGGCCGGCGGAACTGAGCCTGGGTCCACATGCAGCAGCAGCAGCAGCAGCAGCACCCACGGCAGGGCACACAGAGCCACCTGCCCCTCTCCCCAGCTTGGAGCAGGCCCCGCCCCCTCCCCCAGCTCCAGCAGGGGTGGCCAGGGCAGAGATGGGTGAGACGCAAGAGTGGGGGCCTTGTGCTCCAGGGGTGGTGCCATTACCTCCAGGCTGAGTGCCATCTGTCGGATGTACAGCATATTCAGGTCCTCCAGGATGTGCATTCTGTCCTGCATCTCCGTGCGCCCCAGCGCCCCTTCCCCGGCTGAGCCCTCCAGAGGGGCCCCACAGTTCCTCCTCCCACTGCTCCCTGGCCTGGAAAGAGGTTGGCTAGCTCGTGGAGGGGGAGGGCAGAGGCTGCCCCGTCCCTCTGCACTCCCGTTAGACCCCTCTGGCTGCGGTGACAAATTGTCCTCCCCACTGCGGTGCCGACGGGAAGGGAAAGCGAGGTGAGGAGGAGCGGGATCCCAGGAGGGGAGGCCAGCTGCCCGGAGGGCTCTGGGCACACAGTGTCCAGGCTGGCTTTGGTGGCAGCTGCTCTCCCAGCTGTGGAAGAAAAAGGCCCTTTCATTCCCGCTCTGGCCCCTCCCCAGCCCCCGCCCACACGCCCGGCCAGGCCGACAGAGAACCTGTGTGCCGAGAGGGCAGTGAGGGGCAGGCACAGCTGGAAGTGGGCAGGGAGGGGCGCCTCCTGCAGGCTCCGCAGTGCCCTGGGGTTTGTGGCACGCTGGAGCTCCCCCAGCGGGATTCCGGGGGAGTTTGAGAAAGTTAGGAAGAAGGATCAAGGAGCTGAGGACTTGAGGGCAGAGCGAGCCCAGGGAGTGGGGCAAAGTGGGAGTCTGTTAGTGGTGCAACTCCCAGGGCCACCTCTTCCAACTCGGGGACCCGTCCAGCCCGCCCCACCCGAGGCTCACGATTACCTCGCGTTTCCAGAAGGGAGGAGAGGGAGGGAGAGAGGCTGGGGTGTGCCTGCCTGCTGCTGCTGCCCCCGCTCCCCTCTGCAGGCCCCTTCCCTTCCAGACAGGAAACCAGCCCCGATTCCCAGCCAGCTGCAGCCTGTCCCCCGCCCCCCGCCTCCACTCCAGGCCCACGGAGTCACACACTCCAGGCTCACTCGCTCGCTCGCTCGCTCGGCGGCCCAGCCGGGCCCTGCGGCTCCGCCCCGGCTCCACGGCGTTGGCCCCTGAAGGCAGGGCTGATCCCGGGGGCGGCCCCAGCTCTCAGGCCCCTCCTCCTGGTCCGCGGGCCTCGCCCCTTACTCCCCCACGCCGGCGCCACGCGGGGTCCTCGGGCCGAGTTGCTGGGGGTGAGGGGTTGCCCCCAGTGCCACCAGCTTCTGACTCAGAGACAGCCTGGGACACTGGGACATGGGTGTGAAAGGGCCTTTGTTCTGGGCCGGCAGGATCGGGGCCTGGAATCCCAGCCGGAACGAGAGGGGGCCGGGAGCCAGGCCCACCTCACTTAACCCTTTCCAGGCCCCGGGAGGGAAGGACAGCTCCGAGCTGGGCTCTCCAAATGGGAGGAAGGAAGCAGCTTTGGGGTGGCCACTCGCCCTCGCAGCCCTGGCTTAGCAGCGCGCTTCCAGCCCCCTCCCAAGCCTCCTTAGGAAGTCGCAGGTAGGGCTCAGACGTCGGCGACGCCGAGACCGCGGGGCTGCGGGGCAAACTCGGCCCGGAGGCGGGACTCCTTTTCCGCCCCTGGCAAAGTGGCAGAAAGTTAGGGTGTGGCAAATGACCCCCAAAGAGTTAAAAGAGAGACCCGCCTCGCCAGGCGCTGGCCCGCAGGAGCCCTAGGGGAGGACGTTTAGTGAAGCAGGCAGCCTTGGCCCGCAGTGTAGACGGGTAGCCGCGGCCGGCCGGGATGGTTGAGGCAGGTTGTAGGAAAGTGCTGGCAGCCAGGGGCCGAGCGGGCGCCCAGGCGTTTGGGGCCCGCCTAGCTGCCCACCGCCCTTCGCCGGAGGATGCCCGGGCTGGGAGCGTACACAGGCACATTTTGGGAATCAAGCCTGGGGCCCCTAAAATTGAGGCCAAGCCAGAGTCTTTCGGAGAAGAGGCAAATCGTCCCAACCCTGGTCAGGGAACCTCTGCGGCAGCACAGGTCCGATTACCGTGCAGAGGGTCCACACCTGATTTTCAAGTCAACAACTCCGGCCACTTTGTACCCAGACCGCGGCGTCTCCGCCCCTCGGCGTGCGCGCGGGCGGCGGCCGGTGGCTGAGGCGGCCGGGGCAGCCTGGGCGCGCCCAGCGGGGCGCGGGGCTCTCACCTCGGGCGGATCGCTGAAGACGCTCAGTCGGAAACGGCCGCGTTTGAACTCCATCTCCAGGGCGGACCCCCTGGCCACGGTGACCCGGCTCCGGTGGTTTCGGGAGAACATGCTGGCGGCCCCGCGCCTGTGCGCTCCCTGCGCCCCTCGCACGCCCCAGCTCCTGTCTCTGCTATCTTCTGTCCCTCGACGCCCGCCAGCCAGTCCGGCCGGGAATCTCCCGCTGCCGGGTTCCCAAACCACGCCCCTGGAGACGACACCTGGGCCGGGCAGGGCGCTGCACCCTCCTCTTCCACCCCCGCCGAAAGCCCGGCCCGCCCAGCCAGCACCCGGAGACCAAGCAGGCGGGCCCAACAGCCCGAGCCAAAGGCACCCTACAACTTGAGATCACTGCGGGGGCGCAGCCTTCCGGCCGGGTCAAGATGCCTCACCTGGACTGGGCGGGCTCAGAGAAGCCCCGCCCCACCAACCACCCCCACCTGGCAAGCCGGACTGCCGGGCTCGGAAAATCCCGCAGCCACATGCGTCGCCGCGTGGCACAATCGGTATCTAGCCGGACCCTGGGGCCACCCTGGTCTCACCCCGAAGCAGACTCTGAAGCGACCGTCTCAAATTCCTCCTGTCCCAAATATCCCTTCCTCTCCTGCCTCTCCCCCTTCAGGTCCCTCCTAGGGCTCTTGGCACCTCCCTAATAGCCACATTTCTCAAGGGGGTGCTTAAGCATGGCTTGGAACCCCAGTTCTGTCACTGACTCACCGTGGAGCTTTGGCCCACTCTTGAGCTTTTGGAGCTTCAAGTTTCCCAACTCTTTAATGGAGGTCTTGTAATGATCCCTACTCCTTAGGTTTCTGGGAGGATTATGCCTGCAAATGGCAGGAGTTATCAAGACAAAGCAGCAGGTGCGGCACCGTTGTGTCCCTGGACCCAGACCTTAAGTGCCTGGAGGAGGGTGAGGTCTTCCTTGATCTCAGAGTCCACAAGTTCTCAGACTGCTTCGCTGGGTGGTTGAGAAATGGTTACCACTCCCAGCTTCTGCAGGAACAGGTGCACGTTGTCCACCCCAGCCTCCAGAAAGACCAGTGGAGAAGGAAATGGCAGAGAATTAGCTTGAGGGGGATAGGGTACATGAGGGGTCTCCTGGAGGCTTCTAACCTCCTGGGGGAGAACTTAAAGGAGGACAGAGTTCCTACACAGCAGATGAGCTGGAACCAGGGTCATAACCAGCCTTGAGCTCTTAAGCTAGCTCCGGTTAGAATTGCTTTGCGATAGCAAATACTCAATCTTCTTTTTGGAAAGGCTGACTTAAAACTACTTCAGCAAAAGGGAAGACTGGTTGACTTATGGACTTGCACTGGGCCTTGTATGTCACAATGATCAGGTCTCTTCCCGTTGCTTGGTTCTGCTTTCTTCCATGGTGGCTTTACTCTTCCCAGCATAACAACATTGCTGCCAAAAATTCTGAGCCTACATCTCTTGGGGCTTAAATTCAGTTGAAAAGAGAACATCTGTTTCTTGAGCCTCCAACACATGTCTGGGATTCACAGCGAGCCATCTGGGATCACTCATACATCCCAAACCAATCACTGTAGCCAGAGGGTGGCCAGACCTGAACCAATCGCTGTGGTGAAGAGGGTTTGGTATGCCAGTCGGCAGGCCTGGGTCACTTGCCTACTCCTGGAGACCAGTTGGAACCCAGTGAGCTGGGAGGCAGAGAGAGGGGGAGAAGTTGTTCCCCAGTGAACGATCCTGGGACTACCCTCAGAAGGGGAGGGAATGGATGACAGCAGGAGATCCACCACACACATTTACATGCAGGGGGAATCCTGGCCAGTAGGAAAGGCAGAGCAGGAGATCCACAATCTATAGATCTTACAAAGCCCACGGCATCTGAGATGCACTGCAAAGGATGGACGAGAGGAAAGGCAGAGAGAGGCACTGTTAATATCCTCAAGTCACTCCTGTAAAAGGCAAGTTCCCCAGGGAAGGACAGTCTGTCTTGTCCACTGCTTATTCCCCCTGCCCCGCACATAGCAAACGCTCAGTGGATGTTAACTGAAGTAGATAAACAAGAGGGATGCCTACGGGAAGCAAGCTGACATGAGTGCCCCTGACTGAGATGAGCTGTTGCCCTGTTCATTTCCAGTGTCTGCCTGGAGCCGCAGAGCCCTTTTTTTCCAGATGAAATCTTACCTGGGACGTGTGAAACAGCAGCAGAGTGCTGTGATGGAAGCAGGCGCTGGACCCTCATGCCATGTCCGGTCACCCCCTGCTCCTCACGGAACCTGGGCTCCATGGACGGGCTTGAAAATCCCTGGTCTGAGGCCCAGGAAGAGGTGGAGGAATGGAAGACATTTGGCCAGGAGGCTGGACTGGGGTCCTGCTGAGGTTTGCACTCACCGTGACTGAGGACTTTTGGAAAGGAGTGATAGAATCTGAGTCTTAGCGTTTCTTCACTATAACCAAATACCAGAAACAGGCTACTCGTAAAGGAAAGAGAGGTGAATTTGGATTAAAGTCCGAAATTGGGCAGGCCTCATTGTTTCAGCCTGTGGTGATGGTGTCCTTGCTAACAGAGTTCCAAGTGTCACAGGGCATAGCATGACAGGTGACAGGGAGTATGCATGTCTGTCTATGGCTCTATTTCTGTCCTTATAAAGCCACCTCTAAACACTGCAATTGTATTGAGTTTGCATCCTTTCTGTACCACTGGCATGAGACTTTGGAACTTAAACTTCTGTATGAGTTCACAGGCCAAATCGACTACAAACCACAGCACAGACTTACATGTCAGAGATCATAATTTGGCAACCTTTTCTGTAAATCTGTTGAAGGAGTCATGACTGGGGTTAGGCAAGCCAGCGAACACTGCCCTCAACCGAGAGAGGAGAAATAAGGGCCAAGATACCTATGGACTTGCTTATTAAATTTTTTAAAGATTTATTTATTTGGGGGCTGGTGCCATGGTACAGTAGGTTAATCCTCCGCTTGTGGTGCCGGCATCCCATGTGAGTGCCAGTTCTAGTCCCATCTGCTCCTTTTCCAATCCAACTCTCTGCTGTGGCCTGGGAAGGCGGTGGAAGATGGCCCAGGTCCTAGGGCTCCTGTACCCGCATGGGAGACTGGGAGAAAAGCACCTGGCTCCTGGCTTCGGATCAGTGCAGCTCCAGCCATAGTGGCCATTTCGGGAGTGGACTAACAGAAGGAAGACCTTTCTCTCTGTCTCTCCCTCAGTCTGTAACTCTACCTCTCAAATTAATAAATATAAAAATCGTTTTTATAAAAATTTTATTTATGGCCGGCGCCACGGCTCAACAGGCTAATCCTCCACCTGTGGCGCCGGCACACCGGGTTCTAGTCCCGGTCGGGGCGCCGGATTCTGTCCCGGTTGCTCCTCTTCCAGTCCAGATCTCTGCTGTGCCCAGGGAGTGCAGTGGAGGATAGCCCAAGTACTTGGGCCCTGCACCCCATGGGAGACCAGGAGAAGCACCTGGCTCCTGCCTTCGGATCAGCGCAGTGTGCCGGCCGCAGCGCGCTGGCCGTGGCGGCCATTGGAGGGTGAACCAACGGCAAAAGGAAGACCTTTCTCTCTGTCTCTCTATCTCTTGCTGTCCACTCTGCCTGTCAAAAAAAAATTATTTATTTGTTTCAAAGGCAGAGTTATAGAGAGGCAGAGGCAGAGAGAAAGAGAGCAAGGGATATTCCATCTGCTGGTTCACTCCTCAGATGGCCACAATGGACAGAGTTGTGCCAATCCAAAGCCAGCAGCCAGGAGCTTCTTCCAGGTCTCCCACATGGGTGCATCCTTGGGCCATCCTCTACTGCTTTCCCAGGCCATAGCAGACAGCTGGATTGGAAGAGGAGCAGCCAGGACTAAAGCCAGCGCCCATATGGGATGCCGGCTGTGGCGCCTGCAGTGCCGGCATCCCAAATGGTTGCTGATTCAAGTCCCAGCTGCTCCACTTCTGATCCAGCTCCCTGTTATGGCCTGGGAAAGCAGTAGAGGATGGCCTGAGCACTTGGGCACCTGCACCCATGTAAGAGACCCGGAAGAAGCGCCTGGCTCCTCACTTCTGATGGGCTCAGCTCCACCTGTTGTGACCATCTTGGGAGTGAACCCGCTGATGGAAGACCTTTCTCTCTCTCTCTCCCTCTCGTTGTCTGTAACTCTACCTCTCAAATAAATAAAATCTTCAAAAAAAAAAAGAAGATAATAAATAGTGAAAATGCATCATTTCCTAGTTATTTTACTATTACCTCTTGAGGTTATTCACATCTACAGTGTCTGTATGGCAGAAATGCTGTGTGTGTGTGTGCATGTGTGTGTGTGCACGCATGTATCTGTGCTACTCAGCACCTCCTTTCAACTCCTTGCCCAGGATGTCATGTCGGAAATTGGCCATGGTGCGCTGGTTCGAGACCCGGCTGCTCCACTTCTGATCAGCTCTCTGCTGTGTCCTGGGAAAGCAGTGGAAGATGGCCCAAGTCCTTGGGCCCCTGCACCCAAGTGGGGGACCCAGAAGAAGCTCCTGGCTCCTGGCTTTGGATCAGTGCAGCTCCGACCGTTGCAGCCAACTGGGGAGTGAACCAGGGGATGGAAGGCCTCTCTCTCTCTCTCTCTCTCTCTCTGTGTGTGTGTGTGTGTAACTGTGACTTTCAAGCAAAATAAATAAATAATAATAATAAAAATAAATTGGCCTTGGTGGGAACATTTGCACAACAGAAAATTGGACAGAAACATTCAACAGAAACAATTGGACAATACAAAGCAGGGCTGCTTCCCTCCCAACCGAAGCTTTTGTTAATCATTTACCAGCAAGCCTCTGATTTGGCATAGAGATTTCCCAACTTTTTCCCTTTGCTTATATCTGTACTTCCTAACTAGGAAGTAGATCT